TTATTGTGAGACAACAGTTCCTAATCAACCAACTTATCAGATTTCTCATGTTATTGTACCAAATATGGCTTTTCCTAATGATTCACATATTTCTGATGAAATTCCTTGCAAATCTGAAGAAAATATGTGTGGAGATAGACCTGACAACCTTATTTTGTAAATAGTTTTCAATGTTATTTGTATTTGTTTTGTCAATTTTTCACTGTATGTACATTCATCACTAAATGACTGTACGTGTTGTTTTAGTCAATGACCTTTAAGACACTTTCCGTTGTGATTCCAACATAGCGTGACATATTCTTGCTGGCTAACAAATACATTACTACTCACACATCCCTCGTTCTATTTTCATTTGTGATTGAGTTAGCTGAAGTCTAAATCAAATATTATCATTATTTATAGACTGTAATTGGAATATATCACATTCTACGTGGGATTATATCACTAGAGAGTTCGCCAACCTGCTCAGAATCATCAAGCATAAGTAATTGTGGATTTACATTACCGGACCTAATCAGAATACGCAACGTTGGGTCAATTTAAGTAACGTCCCTAGTTTTTATTGTATTTGTAACAATTAACTGTATATATTAATATTACTATTGATCTTTAGTAACTTTGTTTATACTTTTCGCGTTCATATCTGTCTGGTCCACCACATATGCTGAGTGAACATAATTATGGTCGAAAACCTGATGTAGTTTTGATAGATGCTAATTTTTCCAATGATCCTTTACTCTGCAATGACATTCTTAATAAATTCGAGGAAACTATATCAGAAGAGTCAAAGCTTGATGTCATACCAAATATTACTTGTCCTCATAAGGCGTTTGTTTCTTGTGAGAAAATTGTTCAATGCGAAGCACGAGTACTAAATTACCTCGATTTTGATTACAATTCGGTTGGTTTCATATCAAATGCTGTTTGTCCTCATGACAAAAACACTCCTGATGTTTACTCTAACCAATGTGAGAAATATGTCTTAAATGAAGTCACATCATTCGTAAATTAGGGATTTAAAGATCCAACATTATTTCGCGGGGGAGGATATTGTTGAGGAATTTGTGTTTTAAATTGTAGATAGTGGTTTCGGCATACAACTGACACTGTGATTGTATACAATCCTAGGAAGCAGGTGAGTCTGTTCCGATTTCGTTTGTTAATTCAAATACTAATGAGCACATTCTAGATAATACAGAATCCTTATCCAATACACTGTCCGACAGACACAGGATGAACTTGAGAAGAGGACGTACAATTAAATACAGACACCTAGACTCCAATTTAAGCTGTGGCGGATGTGGTGTTTGAATGAACTAATGATTTCTTTGTACTTTTTGAATGCTTGACTTCGAATTCTAAATACAGTACATTCGTTGGTGGTTATCTAGTACTTCTTGATCCGATTACGTTATTTCTGGGATTCCTAGTTCATACTATAATTCAAATACTCTTAATTATCATAGGCCCCAGGTAGACCTGGAAATATATGTGACGGCGCGGGACAAAGCCGTATGTTCTGCGAATGATTTAGTGGTACACCACGAGGGTACTAAAACAAAAGAGAGAAACGGGAAGGGCGAGAAGCAGAACTAACATTGTTTATGGCTCGTGAAGTCTGGTCATTTGTGAAAGAATAGTTGGAGTAGGGATACCTGGACTAATTCTCTTTTATTAAGTCAGTTTCTAAGCTGAAGACTTCAACCCTCCGTCTTTAAATCTCATCCAGCAAGATATAATCCCTACAGGGTGGTTCCACAGATGGATTGACATAACTATTAAAAGGTTAGAACGGACTGAACATGTGCACAGCGCAACAAAATGACTGTAACGGAAATATTTCGAACCTAGATTAATTACTGGGGGATATTCATGTCCATGCGCCAACGGAAATTGTTAACCATGATGTTTAACGTGGTAAAAAACGAGATACTTTGTGCGGTTGAGAATGTTCCCCACCATGGCTATACTTAAGCGGACTATACGACGAGAAGGCATCTTCAATATACCCTATGTTCACGAGAGCACTGTAGTCTTACAGTGTAAGATCAGTGGGAGATAGTGGGGCACACCATTTACTATTCTGTCCAGCACAATCTATCTCGGAGTCAGCACACAGCTTGAGAAAAAGGTCCCGGGTTGAGGAAGCCATGTAACGTTAGCTGAAAGCCAAATAGAGAACCTGGCACCAGCGGAGTCTCTGAAAGATTCTGAATGAAGTTCTCGGTTGGCATTGTGTAGTAGATACAATGCCAAAATCCTTGAAGATTTATAGGTATTTTGAAGATAAGCTACCCATCAGTGGACAGCTTTAGGAAGAGATTTGACAAATGCATATTCATCCATAGTTTTTCAGGTACAAAAAAGCTTGTGAGGCATGAGTAACCTGTTCTAAAGCCATGCTGTTTTTCCGAAACAATCCGGATTTCGTCTGCATACTTAAAAAACTTTAGAACGAACTTCTCTGAAATTTTAACATACACGTTGGTCAGGTTTTCTGATCGATAGTTCTCGGGTTTGCGTCTTGAACCGGTTTTGGAGACAGGACTTGTTATGGAGCTTTACCGGCCTTTTGGTAACCCACTTCGGGCTACAGATAGATTATGAAAAATATGCTTATGAAATTCGTAATAAAGTTTGGAAGTTCCTCTGGTAACCTAGGATTCCTTTCATCCAGTTTTATAAATATGCCCATGTTCACCTCGTTTAAAAAGCCAAAACGAATCGAGTTCTTCAGTGTTTATAGTGCCCATTGTGTATGGGTGGTGTATAAACCGAAGAGGAGGGCATCTCTACTTCATATGAATTGCTAAAGTAGTTCGGGAATTCCTGGTCTTTACCATAATCGTCCTCCACTGATGACCAAATACTACAGTCTCCTTTTCTCTTAATACCCTGGTTTATTTACGAGTACGAGATTCCTTAGCAATTTTTCCTTCGTACAAATTTCTAGACTGCGGAGGGTCGAGACAAAAATATTTTAAGCTTCCCGATATTGAGATTTTATCTCATCAGTAACTAGCAACTTAAATACTCTCATATTCTTCTCCTACTAAGTAAGTTGCAAACCTCTTAACTGTTCCACAGTCAGGGGTTTCCCAGACCCCTAGGTAAGGTTCAAGGAATGTACGGTGCAGTGACTTTGATGTACGAATTCTTGGATACATCTCAAGTTGTTTCAATGAGAGACTCTGTCTCTGTTTACCAATCTATTGAGCATTCTGAGTGTACAATATTTTGTATATTTACTTTACAGACGTTTGGTCTAGCTTAGGCTGACACATCCACGTTATGGACAAAAATATGGAGATCAGAGGCTGGAACTGCAGGGTAAACGTTAAATTATCGTGAAATATAGTGGAGGTCTGTGACGTCATCAGCACTAGAACTAGTAAGGATGATTCAGAGCCCAGGTCGTACCTTGTTCTGTTCAAAAGAATTTTATGACAAATCAGTTCACAGATTTTTCCGGTCTACCGTAAGTGCATTAATGTCTTTTCAGAACAAATATCGACCGACTGAGAACCGAGTGTTGAAACCATCTAGTCACAGTTCATTCACTTAACTTGGGTACGCTGAATCAAACAATAGCTCTTGTTCTCTGCATTTCAAGCAGCAACTAACTAATTCCAACCTTTCAATTTCATGGGATGTGTTATAAGTAACGGTAAACGAGGCAGTATATCCGATGAATAGAACTCCTTCTTATTTATGCTTATGGATTCAATAGGCTCTTACTAGTGTAAAACTGTCAAAATTTAATTGCGTACTGTCTACCGACTGCGTCAGCCGAATTCCTGTGACGGCGATCACGTTAAGCTCAGTAGAGTATATTTGTGCACCTAGCACTGATCGCTTGTTGAGCAAGTTCCGAGCGTTTGTGTGACAGATCCGAAGACCACTTAAATGACTTCGAAGCGCACCCAAAGTGGCCTCGTCGTCTCGCTCAAAACGAATCGCTGGCTCCGAGATTTCACTCTGCTTGAATAAATGAGAGACGACTGACTGTCACTATGATCAACCATCAATTTCCCAATTGCTGCTTGAGATGCTGACTTTTCCTTAACGATATAAGTCCGTCTTTTACTCTTAATTTATACCTATTCATCAGCTCTCTCCGCGGAGTGGCAGTCTAGTTATGTTACACACATTGTAAGGTCCTGAACGATTGTCGATGACTCAGATGCTCAGGTTGTTGTTTTTTCCTTCAGAAACAAACCTAGCCCAACAAATAGGTTTTCTGGACGTTTCCCGACTCCTACCATTCAGATGGAGTTGGACAGAAGAAACCAATTTTCTTGAGCTTTTGCATCTAACAAACATCTTTGATGTCGGTTAATCAGAAAATAAGTGGAAAACCGTACACTGTCAGGTCAAAAACGCAGCAAATAAGAAAAACCAATGAACTTGAAAAAGTGCTGATCATAATCTATATTCGAGAAAAATGATGCTGTTGATGTTACTCCAACTGAAATAAATCCAATCAAAGTGAAAAAATCAGTAGTGATGAGTAACAAACGATCAAAACTGTAAATTTAAGTCAACGAGGAAAAATACCACGATTCTTTCCAAATGGTAGGCTTCGAAAGTTGTTATCAACACCTTTTCCCTACTTACTCTTTCATGTCCGTCTTCTCATACATCACCAACTAACCAGACTATTTATATATTCTCACATTTGTTCTCTTTTAGCACTCGAATTATCGCTTTAATAATCTTACAGTGCAAACAAACAACATCTTGCCCGGCACTGTGATAGATGCTGGTATCCAGAAACCATAGACCTATTTATTTGAACGACAAGATATATAAATCCACAAACTGATTAGAATTAGTGGAGTCGATTGACTGAACTACCACTCATTGGACATTGTCAAGTATCTGGATTCGCACACGAACAACAAGAACCGAGGGAAGAGAAATCAGTTGGTTTGTGCTAGCTTGTGACAAAGCTATTTGAAATTAGAAGTACATGGAATAATGGTATTCAGTATTGAAGACCGCCGTGGTCGAGTATTTCGCTACCCCAAGGCCACGTTTTGCTTTTGGTAATGCTCAGCCAGAAAAAGCCCCATAAAGAAGGAACTAAGAGTGAAAAGCTCATTCATGAAGAAAATGTACGGACACTCAAGTTCTACCGTTATTTGTTTCTGTCCTGTTATGTAAGTCCTTTGTAGTTATTTTAATTCAGAACGTTCATAACCATTTTTTATGTTTGTTCCAAAAGTTAATTCTAACCAATATTTCAAATGCACATATAACGAGTCATTGTGTAGTTTCAGATTCGTCGTTAAAAGTTTCACTTAAACTAGTTTATACAGAGTTCAAGTGTCGATGTCATCGGGAAATAGAATTAAGTGTTCGAGGTAACCTAAACTGATTGCAATGGACAGTGTAAGTCTATTCCTTTCGAAGGGTTACGACCATGTTGATTTGTGGTAACAGTTGTGAGAAGCTAGTTGGCAGCAAATAGTACTATTTGCTGAACATATATACGTATATATGTTCATTAAATTATTATCTTCGCAATCCATCCACTCAAGGTATTATTTAAAAGACTTAATCATACTACTTTTCGATTCATAATTCTCTATAATTGACGAGGTCAATGATTTGTTGACGATATTACTTTTTATATCTCTTTTATTTGCCCTATATTCAGTAGTTTAGATAAGTTTGACTTAAATGTACTCGAGAAGCTGAGTAGTGAAATTATACAAAACTACATTTGCGCACGATGTTTAAAGTATTTTTTCTCACTCTGAAGCAATTCGAACTGTAACTGCAGGAATTCTCCACAATACTGCAATGTTATTCTGGAACACCGGTTGACTTGGTAGTGTTGTAGATCACTAAAGTGGATTATCTGTGTCAAATGATTGGGGGTCTACTCGAGCTAAACAGGAGTGGTGTGACGAATCTACTAGTTTCGAAGTCACACCTCGCGGTTAGTCCCTAACTTGGATTACCTTTCGTCGTATCAAGGTACTGTGGTCACTTTGAAGTCCGTATAACACAAAGGACATATATTAATAAGAGTAGGTACAACAAAAAGAGTGCAACCACCACCGAATGGGCCAGTACTTGGCGCGCCATTAATTGATGCGCATTGGTGGTCTTTGAACGTGATGAGGATCAGTGAACTATTCGATATTCATTGAACCAACTATCGAATGATTTAGATATGGCCCAGTTACAATTCACTGGTCCTACTGTGTAGTTTGGTTCAATGGCTGGTATAACTATCCAATCACGGATATTTACCAAAATACTAGTTATTTGTGTTGAAACCATGAAAAATTAAGATGACTAAACTCATGCATTTCATAATAATCTTTGAAATCGTCGTTATTTTAAACTTAACAATAAAGAAAAATTGCAAACTTATTGGTGAATATTCTCAAGCGACTGGGACTAACTGTTGTAAAGTTTAGGCTCTGTGATTTAAAACTAGTGATACTGGTGAGCTGTATCTAGTTTTATCATAACAAAAGTGTTTATCTATTCCACACCACTCATTCTTCGATTTTACAGGCTTCTTTACCTAATTTTTACTCTTCTCGATCCTTCCCGCATTTAACATTAGTGTGAACAATCTGACAGCGTAGGTCAATGTATATTTATTCTACGTTCTGAATTATCCCTGGTTATCTTTTCTTTTAACTAGAAAACCTCATTTCCACTTGAAATTAAGCATAATGGTGAGGACCCCTTAATTTCGTGAGAGAAAAGTTCAAAATAAACCTTTAGATTTGTTATTCCTCACCTATATTTTCAAATACATTCTGAAACGTTACTTTAAAGACATATTCAGACCATTAAAGACTGTCAGTTGAACATTTCGTTTATTTTTACCAACTATTACTTATACAATAAGGAATTCCAAAACATCTTTAGTTAAATTACCAAAAACCCGAGTTTAAATTGAGTATTAGATATGCTCAGTTATTATACTTTGTAAACACTAGCTAAGCGAAGAGATTTCTTTTCAGTTAATTTTTCATAATGACTTTCTCTCTCTCTCTCTCTCTCTCTCTCTCTCTATATATATATATATATATATATATATATATATATATATATATATATATATATATATTCGAAGTTCGTCTTTACTAAATCTTTAAATGGAGATTTTTCGTTAGTATATTACTTGATATCTAACCTTGTCTACAATGCAAGTCTCCAATCATAGGTTTCTCGGAAGCATTACTTAGTAATAATATAAACATCAAGTGACTGACTCTAACGTTAGTAGTAAGGTTGGTTTCTAAAATAGTTATTCGACCGAGATTATAGGCTGTCGATTGGCATATTTGGGCCATATGTCACAAATGTATATCCATAGTATATCCTTACTAATAATGTTGGTTTGTATTAGGGTGGTTTCATAGAAGGATAGGGGTGCTTAAATAAGAGCATGGTATCAGCAACTGATGCTATTGATTGCTAAACTGACCTGTGTCATTAGTGACTTATTTCTCGATTGTGTTCCGGTGGATAGTCATAGTTTATAGGTAGAAACGATAAATACCTGGCTCAAAGTCAATCGCAATGGTACAGTTGTATCCGTTATGTATTTTTCTCTCCCCTGAACATGGTACCATTCCACACTTATCTTTATTTAATTTCACTCGTTCTTTTTGGTGCACACATGTTTAACCTTCTGTTGTATTGGGTACTGACTTACTGACTTTCATTCTTCATTGGTTTTCAACTTGTTGATTTCCTCTTCCAATCTGTTAATGTCAGATGTGCAACCTGGAACGACACATATCGTTCTCAGTTCTTACTTCCTCTCTGACCGGTTAATTTTATCATCATGTTCATTATTGGTTATATTCTTATCTTAGACTTAGTGTTTGGACATTTTGTTACAACATTCATTATTGTCAATGTTATTTTCTTCCTAGATAGTTTATTTCGTTATCACTTTAACATTTTTCTGGTCAACCTATACGAAACGTTACATAGCGTTATCACTAGGATGCTTCGGTGCTTGTTTAGCTGCTTATAAATTTATGTCCTACATGGCTTCACCATCTTACGCTGTCAACGAAAGAGGAACTCGTCAACTGGTGGATGCTGGCCTAGATTTAAATATAGGATCCGGTGGACTTGGAGAGTAAGTGATTTACACTTTTTGCTTTATTCCCTTATTAAATAATTAGGTTATTTTGGGTAAGGATATTACCACTATGGAGGGATTTCTAAAGGTTGTAGAATCTTTAAGATTTAGATCATGAACTGATCTTAACTAGACTGTAATTGAAAAAAAGGTTTTCCATTACTACTAATACTGTTACTGCTTTTACTACTCTGACTTTTGTATCTGTGCTGTTCTGTGGCAACTTGAACTTATGTGCATAAGTCCCAGTTTCTGCATTGGGTCTGACCCACGAACTAACTGACTGACAGGCTGATTTAAGCTAAAATGAGTCATCGAATGCCAAGGATCATTAGACAACTGTTTTGTTCTACTCAGCAATGCACATCTCCCACACAAGATCAGCTGCAGGAGACAAACCCAGGATTTTAAGTCTTGTGGGTCTCATTTTGTGTTCGACTTATTGAGTTAACATGTTGTAATTCAAAATCTCGAGTCCAATCATTTCCTCGAAATGAATAATTTTCATTCAACCACCCATGGTTACTGTTTTGCTTTACTTCTTTAAATCAGTCAGAAATATTCTGTGGTGACTGTGCTCAATTTCTTTCTTTCAAAGACTGAATTTAATTTGAACTTAATTAAATGAACTGAAATATGAACTAATTTTTTCGAATTCTAGCCTATAAATCTTCTCTACAAGAATCTTGTTTTGGAATAGTCAGTGATAGTAGAATAAGAAGCTGTGGTATCAGCGTATAAAAGTGTCGTTAAGAGTTATCTCTGTTGTTTCATCCATATCACTTCGTTTTGTATAAACTCCCAAGTCCTGGATACTACAATGGTGTGAACACCGATGAAACTAACATTTATGAATTACTTTGATTGATTATAAAAAAGGGACCTTGCGAAATTTTAATCACTTATATGATCCAAAATCGGGTTAATTATTTGTTTTAATAGGGACTAGGATCGTTAGTCAGAGTGAGTGTTTTCATCACAAACTGATACCAACTATAGTGGAAGAATGCGCTATAACTGTAAAGACTAACAGAATTCACGTAAAATACAAAATCTGCTATCGTAAATCTGATTGGTTCGTCCATAGAGTCTAGTTCAATTTCGACACATCTATTTTAGGATTTCGGTTGAAGCCTAGCACTTATTCCAAATTAAATCATTTATCACCTCTGTAATCTTACTATCCAGATCACCGACAAAATTCTTATATTTTTAATCCAATTACAGTCGGTGTAGATTTGGATTAGAGTAAAACATAATTTGAAAGAATTTGTCTTAAAAATACAAAAAAATGTAGTTCTTTTATTCATATAATGAAACCAGATCGTATTTCTTAGTTTTATCTTTTGTATTTACTTGGAAAGAGAAAGAAAGAGGATTGTATCGATCACCCAAAGTAGTTTGGTTTAAATTTTAAATATACTCAGCATAAATCCATATTTACAGTTGTGAGATGAGTCTATAAACAATAAGATTTATTTTTTGTTTCTGTATCATATCAATTTATTCATTGGTTAGGAACTAAATTATATACCATTTATTATTAATCTAATCTAAGGCCATTTGATGGAAAAGGATGCAAATGAGAGAAAAAAGTCAGTGAATCCATAAACAGTGATGGTTAACAACTTAGTTCTTAACTTATTAGGTATTGTAACTCTAGTGAGCCCCTTGTTTCTGTAGTTAGATATCAAGAGAAGGTTGTCTCTAAGCTAGTTAACGGCCTCGGTGCATTAGGTTACTCAATATAACCTTCAGACCGCAAACTCGTGAGTTCAACTTGTAATTAATCAACCTTGCGGGCAGGGAACTATCCTATTCCTTGACTTCGTGAATAATGATTGGCTGGGAAGAGAAGAGGGAAGACAACCGTGGCGGGAAATCTCTATGTTCGATTATGTCTAACTTAGAAGAGTACACGTTTAAATATGGAGATAATTAGACCACGAAGCACAACAAATACAATATATGCAAAACAGGAAGTAAGGCTGCTATTTATAATACAATAAATTAGGAAGAAGAAATGACAATAGTTGATAGATTAAACGATGGCTTATGATCAAGCAAGTAAGGTAGTTACATAAAATAGCTGTAAATAACTTACTGACTACAAATTAAGCAAACTGATAACCTAAAAGCAGCTTTCATAATTTAATATTTCTTCGATCAGTTTTTGAATTTTAAGATTAATCTCTTTGTAATATATTCTGTGTGTGTGTGCTCAAAAATGTTTGCACTTGCATTCACTCTTTGTTTCTCCCTGTATCCTGAGTCCCGAAATCTCCGTATAATTCTTATTTTATTTCTCCAGCTAGTCTTTTCTATTACTAATAATACTGTTACTTTTATCAGTCAGATTTTTCTTGATAATTTTATCTCATTATGCTAATGTGGCAACTTAAACCAATGCACATATGAGCCAGGTTCCATGTTTCATATAATTGACTGAATGACTCCTTAGCATATTGTATTTGTGGACCTAGCCTCCTCAGCACACATCCAGGCCTAAAACCAGCTTAGTTTCCTCAGTTTCGCTGTTCGCGAGTCTTAGGAGTCATAGGATTATTGTGACCACCATGTTAAACAATATATTCTTCAAACCGATTCTTCTATGGTTATTAAAAGAGGATTTTTGTCCTATTCTAAAAACTTTGATGTCTAGCGATCGCGATCAGTTTTATTTAGGAGTATGCCGTGTTTGCAGACTCTGATTAATATCTCAGTCAATCTAACTTCGAAAACTAGATCATCATGCTTAAAGATTTTTGAAGGCCTACTACTTACCGTTGCTTTAATTTAAATATACATTTTGGAACTTTATTAAGAATCGGGGTATGGAGGACGTATTTCACTCGCAATTTGATTGTTCCAGAATATTGGATAACAACTGGAGAGTAGCTGGAAAAGAGTTGAATTATTCTTTAAAGCAGAACACAACTCACATTCTAATAACCTATAGTTATTTTCATTTATCTCATGATTCATTAATTGTTCGGACTGTTTTTGTTCACACTAACCTACGTTTCTCTCATTCTTTTCGTTTTACTTTACATAGCTGCTTTTTTCAATATTGTATACCTTTTTATTATTTACTTATTGTTAATGGTGTTTTTTTTTCTTTTCAGACAAGCTAAAGATGCAATAATCATGTGCAGTTTAGTCACTATATTAAGCTTAATTCATCAATATTTCTGGTTCCTCTTATTAATTGTAAGTTTTGCATTGAATCCGTTTCTTGTTTAGTGTATAGTGTATACGCGTTTATTTATGTTTCTATATTCTTAGTATTTGATAACTTCTTTGGCAAGACTATAATTTATGGACGGACCAATCAGATGTAAGATAACAGGTCTTGGATTTGGGTGCGAAATTCATTCATTCATTTGATTAAATAGCGTTCTAGCATTTTAGCTGATGTTGGTTCATGATGAAAGCCCTAAATCCAATTCCTTATCCTAACTATCAGCTGCAACCCACAATCCTTATTCTTCACACTGCTTTATAACCCTCATTTATCCATAGTAAGTAGGTGGATATTCTCAAGGTCACTTTGGCGTCGCTCAGAGGTCGTCCATAAATTAGTCTCACCAATCCTATTTTAAAATCCTAATAATTATTTCACTGACCTAAATAGAAATTTCACAACAGACTGATTTACTGTCCCACTGAAGGATCAATAGTAGTACTCAAAAGCGAAAACTCTAGAACTCGTCGAAGACTAAACCGCGAATCTCCAGTCCTATTAATAAAGAAGTTACCTTCAATCTTTATTGACCGTAAACATGAAATGTTGAAATTTGATGGAACCAGTTTTGATTAATAAAAATTGCAATTTAGACTTGGTAATCAGTGATCCATAAAGGCTGTTTTTATGCCAAATAGCTCCTATTCGTATTTTCAAACTTCCAGAATCGACTTCACAGGTTTTTATGGAGTTCCGTTTTTCCTCAGAAATCACACTACGTCGATCCATAAAGCCTTAAATTTTTACTTTTCAAACTAGTTAACTGTTATAACTTCTGAACCTGTGTGCCCTGTTTACTGTATAACGCAGCGATACCGCCAATCAGAGAGCAGCGAACTATCGATCGAACCAGTGACGCATAAAACACGTGCGAGCAGCCTAGAGTCCTGATTGGTCCTGCTTTCCGCCTAGCCCAGCCAGTTGAGTCTAGAACACCAATCTCAGCCTCTGCGATATGAATTATGAAAATGTCTCTTTCGAAATGTTAAATGAACCATAAATATAAATCATTTCAGATCTGATATGCTCATTGTTGGGGAGATCCCGAAAGGTCCCTTGAAAAGAGCCCAAAGGGTCCCTGAAAACAGTGGGAAACGTTTCATTCAATCAGTATTGAATGGATGTTTCTCAGAAGCATCTAGAATATGGAGAGTCACGTATCACATTTCTGATTAGATGATCACCTATCCCGCTACTATGTGTAGAAGGATTCCAGAACTTTCCAAAAGCCCAAGGACATCTGAAATGCTATAAATGCCTTCAACTTTCTGTACATAAACTAACCTTAGGGTAAAGCGTACTCTCCATATTTCGCGCCTTTTTTACCGTATTCAAGTTGTGCAGATTTAGCTTGAGGTTATTAGAAGAACGTTCAGTCAAAGGATGTATCACCCATCACGGAATGTTGAGCTCATTGATGCCTACAAAGTTATTGGTACATGTTATCTAATAGTCCTGAATTCTACTACAATAATCATTTAATATTCCATTATCGGCAGTATTCATTATTCAGCTGCTATATTCTTTGACTGTAAAATTCACCAAGTTTCTCGTTGATTTTAAAGTGTATATTTTCAATCACATTCAATGTCATCTGTTAAACATTGTCTCTTCCCTAAACTGTCTTGAGTGCTTATAGAGGTATGAGCAAAGTTGTCCATCCCATGTTTCCCACACCTTGGAAGCATAATTCTTTTTCGGGTCCCTGTAAAGGAAACTGGGTTGGAAATGGTCTTGATTACCTAGGAGAGTGACAAGGCCTGTTGCCGGTCACATACGGTCTCTTTACGAGCAGTTTCAGGTGTGTTTACCCCATACTTTCGGCAACAGAAAGCCGTGAGACAACGTTGTGTGCTATTGTTAAGGCCGACCTATTGTAAGCCCATCCTTTTCTTATGGGAAGACAGCGTCACGACAGATGCTGGTTTTCTAAGGAAAGCACCCAAAATGTGACGTCCCAATATAGTCAGAGTTACCAATTCGTCCTCAAAACTTAGGTTTTTGCTTTTAGTCTTTTAGTCTCATCTTACTCCATCCAGCCTATCTGCCATGATATGACCTGGAAAGACGTGTTTTTAGCTAACATGCCTCGATTTGTTCATCACGATATGCAAGGACGACCATTTCGTCAAAGTATCAGCTACGTTTGGCTGAATAGTGAAACTATAATTTATGGACGAACCAACCAGGTTTAGGGCAATATGACTTGGATCTCGGCGCGAATTTCACTTACCCGATTTGACATTTTAGCTGATGTTATTTCGTAATGAAAGCCCTAAATCTATTTCCTAACCATCAACTGTAAATCATAATCCTAATTTCACACTGGTTTATAACTCTCATATATAACTGTAGTAAGTAGGTAGACATTTTCGAAGTCACTTCAGCGTTCCCCGAAGGTCGTCCACAAATTATAGTCTCACTGGCTGAACTTGTTTAACACTACAAATAATGGAATCTCAATAGATTATGGAGAAAGCTGTCTCATTCATTACGCTGTTCCGTTTTCTCTGATATTGTGTAATAATGATCCTGAATTTTCCTTAACTTATTTGAATCATTAGGGACTCTTAATAATTTCTTGCTAAACTGTAGTGAAAGCTGTCATTTATATCCAGATGTACATGTACACGCAATTCATGTGGAATGTTTGTTAACATTCGCTAATAACATTTACACTACTCACTAATATTAAGTAGCAACATCCCATTTATAAATGTTATATACTTATGTCTTATGTATAATGCCAGATTCCTATTCGGTTATTCTACGTGCTTTGGGTAAATATCTTGGCACCGTGGATATTTGATCCAAATCAAGAAACTCAGGTAAATGAAAAGAAACAAAAGAAAATGGAACGAAAAATGAGACGAGTTGGTCATCTAATGCATGGTACAGATAGAGCTGTCGGCCGAGCTAATTAGATAACGAAGTGTTATGATGAGAAATGGTTATCATCATTCTGAGTATTGTATTTTATTCTATGGATATTTCCATCCCTTATCTCGTATTATTCTTACATGATATTCTTTCTTTGTCCTTTTTAGTACATATTGATATCTGTACAGTAATTTATATTATGTACAGTTTCTGAAATGACTGATTTGTTTATTATTGATATTATTCCTAGTATTGTTTTATTTATTCTCAAATATGCACAGTGGTAAATAATTCTATCATTATTTTCTTTTTTTATCGTTTGACTTAAATAATATTGTGAATGTCGTTTATTAATCAAATAAGAGGAAAATTTCTGTACTTCTCCTTGTTTCCAGCTATTCGGTCAACAAGTAACTTCATGGAATTCACTCAGTGGTTTAAAGGTTACACGAGGTCTTGGGTTCGACTACTGGTGAGGTTGTGAGTACTTATTACCGAGGGGTGTTACACTAGGACGAAATAGCTGTCCAGTATTCCTGGTTTTCAGTGATAATCTTTTATTTTATTTATTTAAATATATAAATATTAGTACGAAGAGGCACTAACATAAATGTACTCTGTACAGTATGTTCAAGAAATATATGATGAAAGGTTAGTAAACAACAATAATTTGATAAAAATAAGGGAAATAAAGCTAAAGAAGTGAGATGTGTAGTTTGGTTAAGAAAAATACATTTAAAAGGTTTTTCGGCAGGACCGCCACAAACTTTTAGTATGAGCCATGTCTGATAGCGTTTCAAGCCACTATTTTGTACTTTTGCTAAGACCCCAACGAGGAAATCGTGCCAGTGCCCATCTGTACTTTTCGGTGTGTTGGTAGCTAACGTTGAACCTAGCTCGGTTTGATATTTTGTTGCAACAGAAGCTGCAACCAATTTTTTTTTCTATTTGTTCACCACTGAAATAAAATTGGTGGCAATAAGGGCATGATCAGAGTACACATAAATACTCCAAAAAAAGCTTCGGTTTTGTTTACAACCAAACGGGCGGTAGCTGATCGCAATGTGATCAATCTAAGTTTGGTCTCATGTTGCTGAGAAAGGGCGTCAGGTAGTAAATTTGCAATAACTATTCCAAAAGTTGGCTTTTAACTCGGGCTATCGCACTTTACAAGACCAGATTTCACAGCTAACCAGGTTTTAGTGCCGAATATTCGCTTTTGGTTCCATCAATTTTATGGATAACATGGCCACCGCAAGAAAGGAGTGAGTTGATGGTTCCTACGTACACCTTGACATGTGAGGGCACTTCGACCGGAACTGAAAACTGTCTCAATCCTCTGTCGTACCAACGCATTTAGGAACCATCTAACCATTGATGCAACGTTACATAATCCAACAATATTCTCAAGTCCTATAAATTAGTAATAACTTTTGTTTAAAATATAGTCTCCATCGCGTATACCTTCTGACTGTTCACTCCTCAGCTTTGTTTTTGCTTCGGTGTATTTTCAAACAAGCTGCATTAGTTTTCAATCGTGCGCTTAAGAGTGGAACAAGTCTATAATTGCAAGGCAAAGCAAGAAATATGTTTGCACAATTCATTCAATAAATAAACGTTGATTGAAAAGGCCACAAAGTCTAATTTAATATTGGCAAAATAAAGATAAATATTGGCTTTGACATCATAAACAGGTTAGCTCAGTGTTTAGAAGTGCTATTGGGTTGAACTACACGTAAAGTGATTCTATCATCATCATCCGAAGAGAAGTCAGTTTCTAGCATGAAACTAAGTGTTCTAACTAATACTGCAACATTATGGTAATTGAATCTGCATTTTAAAAATGTTATTATCTACGTAACTATACAAATTCAAACATTCGAGCAAATCAGTAATACTAAATAAAGAAAAAACCAAGGTTACGTGCGGAACTTTGTGAGTTGCCAGATTGATATAAACAGTATTCTTGGTTAGATGATTAATTCACTTTCTTTCAAGGTCCATCAACATTTTTATCCTACTATTTGTCCTTGAAATTGTACTTTGAGCCTTCTAGATGATCAGGATTTGTTGGGAAGAGGCTACTATATAGCTCAATATTCCGATTATATTATTTTGACTGTATCAGTTTATTCTTGTAAGGATTATAAAATGTATGTTTATCCAATCACGTATTGATGAATCAATGCTAAGTACCAATTATTCGAATGTATTCAATATTTAAGTATTAATTAGTGTAGATAAAACATACAGAAATCAGTGTATTCATACATCATTTTGATCCACATCAAAAATCACCTATCATCACTGTTTTGTTGTTGCATCGAGTCATGTCTGTTTGGCTAGTGGAGATCTTATATAAATTTTGTTTATAAGCAACAACGTTCAATAAAACAGAAACAATGAAAATGTGATATGTCAAGTTACTAAGTTCGAATATTCTCGATTAATCATCTAAACTGTTAATCTAAGTTTTATCATTTATACTGTCCGAAGTTCTCTTTGATTTACTCAGCGGCTATAAAACATGACCTTTAAAAGTGTAAAGCAATCATTGGTTACCAGTAGTCAATCACAAATTTTGTCAAAGGAGCTAAATTGTTAATAACAATCGTACTGACGTTCCAAATTTGTGGCTTCGGTTTTATCTAGTGTCCTTTCTTGTGTTGGCCAACCGTGATTGCGATATTCACACTTGAGCATTGCCAACCGCAATGCCTGTGTTAACTTTTTAAAGAGTAGATCGGAAGACAGTGACAGCCTAAATAAAAGTCGGCGTCAGTTATTCACGACGATTGTTTATAGGAAGATTTTCTTCGCTGAATTACTTGTTTTAGTTGGAATGTCTACTGATCTAAATATTATGATGCTAGGAATTATTCTTCGTTCCAGAACTTTGACATTTTCCCAGTCGAATTTATGTTCTTAGTTGTCCATGTTAATTGATTTCAGTGATAATATAGTGTTGTTTTCAGTCAGTCAGTAACATCGTAAAACTTCGTACGTACGTACCACATTAGAACAGAGATGCAATTGTCTAATTAAATCCCACAGTGGTAGAGGTAGTAAAATTATAAGCAGTAATTGGAAAGATTAGGGTTTGAAGATGTTATTCAAGGAGTATAATCCAGTGAAATGAATTTGCAAAGATAAAAAAGGAACATGATGGCTTATGTTTGTGCACATGTACTGTTTGTATCGTAGTTTATGAAAAAAATCTTGAAAGGATGAGTCAATTCACTATACACCTTGACGGAAAGGTACTAGAATCATTATTTTGACGAACAGATGATAGAAGATTGATTTCTTCAAATGTTGCATATTAAGAATGCTACAGTGCATTTTAACTGTTTTTAAATGGCATCTATGTACTAATTTTCTCGTGTGAAATCGGAATGTTATTGCTGTAGTTTAGTATTTGATTGGTATAAATCGGAATTTTCAGAGTTCGTGCACTTGTTTTGTATAGTGACTTACACCTGTTACCCCTCGTGGAGGAGCATAAACCGCCTACCAGCATTCTTCATCCAACTCCAACCTGGGATAATCCTTTCAACTTGTTTCCAGTCTCTATTCATCCTTTTCATATCTGCTTCCAATTCTCGACTCAGTGTGTTCTTTGGTCTTCGACTTGTCCGTTTCTTTTCAGCATTCCAAGATAGCGCTTGTTTTGTGATTCAGTTTGATGATTTCCGCAATGTGTATCCTATCCATTTCCAGTGTCATTTCCTAAATACCTTTTTCAGTTGGAAGCTGGTTTGTTCTTTCCCAGAGTAGATGTTGCTGATGGTATCCGGTCAAAAGAAATCCAGTATCTTATAAATACTTCTACTCTTTTGACCATGGTTGTTGTAGTTCTCCAAGTTTCAGCTCCTTACAGTAGGACTGTCTTAATGTTCACATTGAAGATTCTGACTTTGATATTGGTTGACAGTTGTTTTAAGTTTCATATATTATTAAATTGTAGGAATGCTGCCCTCACTTTGCTAATCCTCGCCTTTACGTCTGCAGCCGATCCTCCTTGTTCATCGATGATGGTTCCCAGGTTTGTGAATGATTCCGTATCTTCCAGAGCTTCTCTATCAAGTGTGATTGAGTTACTGCCGTACTTCAGGATCTTGGTTTTTCCGTCGTACATGTTGATACCTACTGATGTAAAGGCTGTTGCTACACTGACTGTGTCTATCTGCATCTGTTCGTGTGTATGGGATAGAAGGGCCAAGTCATCTGTAAAGTCCAAATCGTCTAGTTGATTCCGAGCTGTCCATTGTATTCCGTGCTTCTCATGAGAAGTGGAGGTCTTCATAATCCAGTCAGCCACTAGAAGAGAAAAGAAGGAGAAGAGTAAGCAGCTTTGTCTGTCTTTGGTATAAAACACTTGGGAAGGACTTCTAGAATGTACCTTCTGTTACAAAGATAGATTGATGCTACCTTTACACCATTTATACGTACTATGTTTAAGTTCCGGCGTAAAATTATACATTCGAATACTGGTACATGCTAATGATGAGTCCTAAATAGGACAAATACACACCATAATACTAATGATATCTACAATTTAGAACTTAATTAAAGCTTGTAGTTTAAAACAACATCCAAGCAAACTCTCAGTAAATGTATGTATTAACAATGATCAGTTCAATACAGTCTTGGATAAGAATAAAAATTAAATACAAATCTTGACAAATTCTAAAAGAAAATTTATTATCAGTATAGGGTTGTGAAGATTGTTAGAATTTTTGATTGAGATCATTAGTCGATTGATGTTAGATAACCATTGAAAATATAGAAGCACCGGATGGCCATTTCATCCTAATATTAGACTTCACATCAGTGCATATGCAGGATCCTACGCGCGAGATTCGAACCCAGGACTTTCGGTCTAACATCAATCTATTCATAATCTCAATGAAGAAAGAGTTATTGATATAGAATATTAGTCAAATCAGCAGTCTCTATATATATATATATTAGTGGTTAATATTATCTCTAAGTGAAATAATCCACTATCATATCTGTATTAATGTAATGTTATGTAATGTAATATTATTATTTACTTGTGATGAGATTTATTTTACAGTAAATAGTTTTAAACACAGAAAAGAAAATACCAACTATCCAATTGATATTAGCGATGATGTACCTTTTCGTTTCTTTCTTGCTTCCTCTCTCTCTTTCTCTCTCTGAAGAAAACAATTAATTACATGTTCAATTACGCCGCTGTCATCATTATTATTATCATTATTGTTTGTTATTTATGCAGCTTATTACTTTAATCTTTGGAAAAGTGATTGTAATAAAACATGATTATACAATAATCAACGTATATTTAACATTTCATTTGAATAAAATACAAGATAATGAATGATCTATGGTAAAGAAAACACTTCACCTTGATTGTAATGTATTTATTTATTTAAGTAACATGTGCAAGGAATAAGGAACTCATACATTGTTTAGGGTAAATAATTCTAAATATAAATGAAATTGTAAGTTGTATTCAAAGTTGGCATTTGTTATACTTGTGTTATGTGGGTTACTTATATTCACATAAGTAGTATGTAACGGTGGTCAAGCATAGAATGTATTTCAGCAGAAGATCGATAAGGAAAGAACCAAAAAGGAACACAATTGGTATGAAAATGCATGATCAATGAAATCTGAGACAATGGACTGATATTTGCAAAAGGAACAGTGAAGTTTGGGACGATTGATTGATATTTTGCAAATTAACTATTTACTATATGGTTCTCAGATTTTAGTGAGATGCTGTAAAGTGCTGTCAAATATATTTAATTGTCCCCACTGGTGTTCTGTTCACTACATTTGGACTACTAAAGAGAACCTAGAAGTTGTGGAAAGGTGTTTTTTCCAAGTGTAAGATTTAGGATTATAAATTATCAACGAACTTTAAGTGATGTTAAAGTGACCTTGGGAGTGTTCAGCTACTAAATAGGAGTAAGTGAGGGTTATAAAGGAATGCGGAGAATTAGAATTATGATTTACAGTTAATGGTTAGGGTTAGAGATTCGATTTATGGTTCTCATCACGTACTGACATCAGCTAAAGTGTTAAAACTCTATTTAGTTAAATGGATGAATGAATTTCGCGCCAACATCTAAGATCTATTATCGTAAATTTGGTTGATTTGTCCATAAATTATAGTCTCGCCGAGATCCCTTAGCAATTGGTTCAATGAAGAACCTTTAGGTCTTACGATACCTACCTGACCATGAAAAGAGTTGAACGAATAAATTATCAAGATCTTTTTTACAGAACACACAATGTTTTGGAGATATTTGGTTGTTCTAGCGCAGTTTCAATACTTTAGATGAAACATCACTAATTATCAAACAATAAAAATTGGAGTGTGGTAAGTGTTGTATTCTGCTTTCTGCTAAATATTTAGGATAGAATTAGGAGACAATCTTGCGACAAAAACGGCACTTTTCGGTACAACCTGTATTGATCAGATTTAATGAGTCAGAAGTATATTGTAAAACAGGTATATTGATAACTAAAGGCTAGAATGTTCACTTGATGTATTACTGAAACTATGTAAAAGGAATGATACAATTGAATTTTGTGATGATTATGAATGTTTTTATCTCAGGTAAAGGATGTTGAAGCCGTTTTATTCTGTGAGCTCTATGTCATTAGCTCGTACTGCAACGATAAGTGAGCCGTTAGAATTTCTCTACAAATGAAATAGAATAAACTGTTAGTTAGCTGTGAAGAAGTTACAATCGTTCATTTATCTTTGAATTAAGTGTTGATGTTGTTGTCCAGAACAACAATGAAAGTCTAAGAAACAAACCATCCACGTTGAAGCTATCACAAGTTCACTTAATCTGCGATTGATAATAAAGACTCCGTGACCAAAGACCAGTAAGCTAGCTATTGATGCGTCCCAGCCCCACTAACTAGAGGGAGAAGTCCCGGACACAACATAACTGAATTACTTATGAATGCTTGTATTATCAAGTTGTGGATATTATAGAACTGTAAACGGCTAGTCTATATTAGCATATGTTCGTTCATCTTGGATGAGTTGGATTTATAATGAAACATTTTCAATAGCTTTTACCAACTTTGGATTGTTTCTGGTAGGGAGATACAGGATGCATTTCATTCATTAGTAAAAGCTTGTCACTAAACAGAAACATGTAAGTAATCCGATAAGCATTCACATACTTTAGCATATACTGATTAAACTTCAGCCCATAATCTTAACAGTGGAATAATATTTTTAAAAAACTACAAATAAGCATCAAACTAGGCATATAAGTTAGTGGAAACCTGAACCTAATAGCGTCTGTATTCAAAATTATTGGTACTGGACTCGATTGAGCTACAGTGTACTCAAAAACAGTGAATGCAGTACGTCCATCTGACTAGTACGAAACAAGAAGAAACATGTGTCTTAGATTCACTTCTAGCAAATTAAATTACGATATCAGTAATTATCTTTAAAGAAATTATATTCATACTCCTATTTTCAAAATAAGTTTATGACTGCAGATGATGATCATGCAATGTCTTGTCTATTAGCATTGACATTTATGCTACTTTTATTAAATGAGTAGTTGTAATCTTCTCAAAGAATAATTTCCATACATTGTAAGAATTCAATATGTATATAAACACTATAAAACTTAACTCCGCCTGTAGCTCTTCTAGAGTTACTGCCGGTCCCAAGCCCGGGTAAAAGAGAAGGGTTGGGCATGGGGTTAGCGTCCCAATCCCGTAGAAAACTAACTCGCTAAAAAACGCTAACCAGGAAAAATAATTCAAACCATTTAAACTCTGCCCTGAGAGTTAGAAGGTCTTCATTTAAAAGAACTATGACGCCACATGGTGAAAGCCGAGTTCCTTCGGAAGCCATGAGGGCGATGCCACTTCTAACAACCAGAACAACAATTTTTATAGGTACATGGAACGTCCGAACAATGAGGGAGACCAGGAAGAACAGTCAAATAGCAACGGAAATGAGGAGATACAAATTGGCAGTACTGGGAATCAGCGAAACCTATTGGATCCAAGCTGGACAGAAAAGGCTAGCTACGGGAGAGATGCTGCTATACTCCGGTCAAGAAGATGAAAATGCTCCACACACTCAGGGAGTCGCTCTAATGCTGTCCAAAGTAGCACGAAATGCACTTACTTTCATGTTAGTGAATGTATCCTTT